GAGGTCCCCGATGGGGGGGGGGAGCCGGTGGCCCAGACGAAGTGTCAGATTTCCCCGATGAAAGCAAAGTGGGCGTGGTCGAGGTTCGATTAAAAGGTTCCGAAAGTGGTCCGACAATTTAGGGGTTTCAAGGGCTTATTTAATCGATTTTAGAGTCTACTAATATGTAAAAAATACATATAATATTTTTTTCTCCCAGACGAATTGTGCTTTTTTCCCCGACGGGGAATTTCCAAACGATAGCAACGCCCTCCAGTCTTTCTTCATTTTTCAATATGATATACCACCGTCATACCGAGCTTTTGGCGTTCAAGGCGTAGCCTTCCACAGCGGCCTAACAATTAGAGAAGGAATATTGAAGCAACCAAAACAATACACCATGTTCAAACAATATTCTTTAAATTATGTTATTTAATCTTAAAATTAGGCCTATAAGCTATGTTGTTGTTACTGTAACTTACCATAGAATGACCAAGATAATCCGTTACATTTTCCGAGACGTAGATGAGTTTTCCATCACACTTTACAACCATTAAAAACCCGTTTACAGCCTGTCAATAACGAAAAAGTTTTGAAGATACTGTAGGCCCAAGGAACAGCGAAATTTAATCGTTCCCTGGTAGAACTTATACTGCCTGTGTTAAGCTCATACGGTACACTTGTAAAATAAATATTAGATTTATACTTATGGACTTTCCTATATGTTCGTTTTGTTATTTTATTTAGGCACACAACAAATGCACACATGACTGTCAGTAGGATATATCATTTCCACAAGACAAACATACACACACGATGCTTTATACAAGTAAATCTCAATATGAGGTTTAGGGACTGGAGTTGTTTTAGTCGTTAGAAAAAAAAATCCTGCAACGCTGACAGGAACTAAACCCCTGATTGGAAGGCAAGCCAAGCTGTTCAACTCCATTCAAGCTCCAAACATACCGGTTTTTTTTTTTGTTTTGTTTTTGTTTTGTTTTTGTTTTTGTTTTTGTTTTTGTTTTTGTTTTTTTACATCATCATCCATTTAATATATGTACGCATTCATTATTTAAGATTATATAGTGAGTTAACTAACCTGAGTAAAATCCACCGGCGGGACCCAACATGGCTGACCATTAGTTATTTTGAATCCTGAAACCAAAAATATCCATTAAGTACCTACCAGAAACCCTTACTGACATCGAAATATGAGGCGCAGTGAAACTATACTCTGTAGACTGTGTTGTGTCTACAAATGATATTGATGATTATGATTGTTAATGTTATTATTTTATTATTATATTGTCCTACTTAGAAAAACATATAGAAGGCATATGGTATTGCAAACGGAATATTTATAGTATTTTAGTTAACACGCCATCGTGTTGGGATTCAATATTTCGACATTAATTATGTCATCATCAGGAATCATTCCTGTCGAAATATTGAATCCCAACACGATGGCTGCATTTCAATACTTATATTATGTATTATACTTTCTTATCTGACATTAATCAGTGGACCTTTCGATTTTTAGTTAACACAGTTGTAGTTATTTTTATTGGTTACTATTATTGTTATCATCTTACTAAATCTTTACCACTGTTGTTAATTACCTAATGATGTAAGTCTCAACTTAGTATGTGTAGTCAAGGCATCCGTAACTTTAAGCCTATTGTCTATTCCGGAAAACGTAAAAATTTAGACAGACGGAACTGAAGTGGCGACGAAGCTAAATGAGAATCGTGTTATGCTTCAAGAGCCGTCTACCTGTTTAAGTAAGCGGTACTCGAAGCCGAGCGACAATAAATGATTTAATGTAGACAAGTGCAATATTTGCTTTAAGTTAAGTACTATCAATTGCTTTGATTAATGCTGTATTGGGAAAGAGCCTACTTAGCCATCCGTAAAACGTTAACATGTAAACAAACATTAGAACATAATGGGAGCATACCGGTTTGCTTGATATGTTGGCCCTACTCTAAAATTGAAACAAAGAATTTTATTAGTATGCAGTTAGTCATAACTAGTTTTCGTACTTCTAACAATTTGTATAAATATTATCACAATACCAATCAAAATAATAAATGCATTGTTCTTATCAATATCGTTACGTACAGTAAACTGTTGCAATTTATACACAACTCTCAATTTCAAATCTCAAATCTCAAATTCACTTCCCTCTTGCAAGAATTTGAATCATTGTTTAAAAAAAAGAAAAGATAGGTCTGAAAATAATAAGACTTATATTGAAGAGTTCATAGAGGAAGTGTAAAGCGGCCGAACCGGAACTGCCGTTTGACTTTCTGGCGATGCGGCGATGATGATGATGATGATGATGATGATGACTATTATAAATAATAATGAATTTCAGTCCGGGCCCCGACCCCTAGGGAGCTGAAGCCACCCCTACCCCTTTCATAAGGTCCTCGATGTAACACCTTGACCGACTGTATGACACATATTATAGCAGGCCTTTATCCAGTGCCGGATGACAGGGGGACCTGCTAGCCAGGGGCCCCCAGAAAAATTTGTCAAATAGTTCTTAAAATGGAGAAATTTTATGTCTGTTTCCAACAATCTAGAGGTGCCATAATCATAAATGTTCTTACCTCAGCCCCAACCATGGTGGGGCTAAGGTGGTATAGATCCTCCATCTGTGAAAGTCCCTCCTTGCCCCATCAAATTATTGGATTAACCGCCAATATCATACGATGACAAATCCCCATGTCACGCCATTGTGAATGATAATGATCAGGGGCGGATTTAGGGGGGGGGGCGGCCCTTTTGGGAGGTAAGAAAAGAAAAAAAAAAGAAAAAAAGAAAGAAAAGAAAAAAATGATAGCCCACAACGCCTCAAATGTTATTTTCCGGCGTCTAGAACACAAAAATGGACCCCCTAGGACATTGTTGTCTCGATCGGCCCAAATTTCGGCCCCCACTTTCGCCCCCCCCCCCTTTGGACATCTCCGGATCCGCCCCTGCTCAAGGACGGTATTTACAGCGAAAAAGTAGTAATGAAGTTACTGATAACATTTTCATGATGTTCTGATGATAAGTTTTTGTTTTTTTTTCCGAACGTGTCTCAGGCATGTCATGCGCCATTAAGAAATTGCATCAAACCCATTTTGACATTGGTCTTATTAAAATAGATTTAGGCATAAAATAAATAAAAATTTATTTAGCGTTTAATTAGCTGACGTAAATTATTGCATGCTTTAGTTGTATTTTGTAATATTTTTGTACTTCTGGCATATTTGGAGGTATTTTGACATACAGTATATTGAAATACTGAAGATAATCCATATACAGGTCTCCCTCTGAATTACAGAACCCTCAAATTAAGGACCGCCTTCAATTAAAGACAATTTTCTGTGGTTCCAGATTAGCCAAGTCTTTTATCTTTATTGTTTATATCATCTTTATCATTTGTTATCATCTAATCAACACCAGTGGCGCTGTATCTCCATATATAAGTTACTTTCATGTGATTTACTGTTATTCATTGCGTATTATACGCAATACCATGAGAAAAAAAAAAGAAAAAAAAACGTTTCCTAATGGAAAAAAACAAAGGATGAGCGCTTGTCCTCATAGCTCAGTTTGTAGGTCTTGTGTTCAAATCCCGATGGAGACATTCGTTTTTCTCAAATATTTATTATCATATGTATTGTTCTAATTAGAGACCAACGCTGCTTAAGACCATTAAAATTCCAGTCCCAAAAGTTGTCTTAATTGGAGGGAGACCTGTAATTGGTGATACTGGAATTTTATAAATCTAAGTTCCACTTAAAAGTACTATCGGCAGTGGCGGATTCAAGGGGTGGGAAGAAAAGTTTTCAAAATTGTAATAAATTAGAGAAAAATGAAAATTACATTAAAATTTTAAGTCTGAGAGTGTCATTTCCGGCCATCTAGAGGTGACATAATCGTAAATGGGACTGAGGTGGTATAGACCCTCCATCTGTCGAAGTTCCTCCCTGGGCCCCTCTATCTCTGGATCCGCCACTGATTGGTACTTTTCATTGACTTACCTGCGCTGAAAAAGTTACCTTTACGAATATATGCACATGTCAGTGACATAATGTGAAGGTAGGACAGTCGAGACTTGACGGCATCATGAAGCGGCAACATATCCCGAAGCTTCTGTATCTCGTTGTTGATCAGGTCGCGGCGACACTTCGAAGACGTACCTTCAACACGCATCATTTTTGACGTCTCCACTCAGTTATCAACTTAATATCTTACAACTGATCTAATTGTTCATCTATTGAAAAACAGCTGTATTGTTTTGCTTTTGTAAAATATCAGTAGTAATCTCATTTGCCTGGAGTTCAATATATCTAAATATAAACTCATAAAAACTTATGCCGAATTTCTTCCGATCAATGCCATCAATGAACGATGTTGTTATAAACCCGTGATGCAATAAACATTTAAATATGCGCGCATGTGCATTATTCTTTACACAGTTCTAACCAATCATTGTTCGTACATTAATTAATATAAAATGGTATGCATGTGTTTGTAGGCCTATGGTGTGATTCGTAAGTATTACGTATTACATTCAGTGTTGAACATACAAACCGGAAAAAGAAACGTCAAAAACGTAACGAAAATTAAAAAAAAATAAATTGTAAGGTAATTCTACATAGATGACAGAAACCAATCGGAATAGTGGGTAGGGCCTAATTACTAGTCGTTATTTAATATATAGAAAAATATATAGGCCTACGGAATGTACCAAGCTAAACAGCGTGAACAAAAAAGAACGCAGAGTTTAAATTCATTATAATATAGGCCTTTAACTAAAAATTAGAACTACAATAAATATATAGTCTCAGGCCTACTCCTCACCAATTAGCAAACGGATAAATAATACTTTTTCAAATTGCAATACTAGCCTATTCGTTGCAAAAATTTTCCTAGTAAAGTCTGTTCATCAGCAAATCGGTATTATCTGAATCAGTCTGATTGGAAGCTGATAACTAAAGCACTTACTAGACTATTAAAACTGTTGTATGCCTATTATAGTCATGATGTGCCTATATATGGTCATGATGTGCCTATATATGGTCATAATGTGATGACATCATCACCATATTTAGGCATGTCAAATGTTTTTGTCGAGTAAGATTTGATAGTCTGGACAGGGTTTTTTTTATTTATTTATTTATTTATTTATTTATTTTTTTATTTTTATTTTATCCTAAATGATATTCAATATTATAACGGAATCCCAGTGGCGGATGTAGAGAGGACGAGGGGCGTAGGCCTACGCCACCCCCTATTTTTGTTTACAAATTTCTTTGAAATCGTAATTTCAAAATAACCATTCCCAAAATTAAAATTTGATCAAACATAACCAGCTCAAATTAACGAAGGTGCTAGAGCAGCTATTCAATGGGAATCGCACACCCACATAGGGCTCTGCCCCGCCCCAAAGACACTCGTGCCACTTGCACATCCACGTCCCCGCACCCTTTCATAACAGGCTGGATATTCTTACCCTTTCTCCTCATGTTTTACCACAGACCGTATCATAATACCTTTAACCATCATACTATATCTTTAATTATATTAAGACGATCGAATTAACCAATGGAATATTCCCCTTCTTTGCGCACGACCAAAGCATTTACTTTACGACGAATATGTTTTGGTGATGTCGCAGTCTCTAATTATGTTGCATATGATCGTGATGTGGTGATTAAAACGAAGTGCGTTATTGGTAGGATCTCTCAAAAACGATTGCTAAACACTCTTGAAAAAAACAAGAATATTCCAGGATTCACTGATTTAGAAATAAGTCAAGCATGTGATGCAATTGGTAAAGCAGCAGGCTTCCAATCGGAAAATCAGGAGTTCGAATCTTAATATGTACATACTGATATTTATTGATGAGTGATAGAAGGTCGATGAATCTATTTGTCAAAAGCACGGTAATGTGTATTATAATACTAACAGACTGATACATCTGAGGTCTTAGGCCTGTATTTTGTTGTCAATTTTATGATGAATACAATATAATTTTAGTTATATATTTATTTACGGAATTAAACATATATCTAAATATGGAGAATAAGCCATGTTCAAAACGTTTGGAGTAGGCCTATATACTCGGTTTGTCGCAGCTCATCAAAGGGCGCTCAACCACACTCACTGGGGCTACCCCCGTGACCCCAGCGATCTGTGCGGCCACAGATTAAGTCCCACCAGTCTTCAAAATTCTGAATCCATCCACCAATGATTGCTTATTTATTTATTAAAAATTCGTCACAATACATATTGTATTAATAGTAAATGAAATAAATATTTTGTTGCTTTTCATTACTTTAATTATTCCAGATAATATTACAAAATGCGCATGACTATTATTACTAATATAACGAACAGGCCAATAATATCAGTTGGTATTAACAGTGTGGATGCAGAACATAAAAGATAATTGAAACATTGACTTTCACAACAAGTTTTATTCCATTAATATGAAATTATTAAAAATACAAAAATACTGATTTAAGAATTTTAGTTCTATAATCAATGTATTATTATCTTGATGAGTGCTATCTTTTTAAATACATTTTAGGAAGCTAATTTTTACTAAGATCAACATGAATTCATCCGTCAGATACGTACACATGATTATTAATAATGATCATTTTACAAACGACACCGAAGGCAGTGGCAGAAGAGTATATTACTGTTTTCCCAGTGGCGTATCTAGAAGTCTTGAAATGGGGGTATTGATGGGTTAGCGTAAAAGTGAAGTGGGGGTGAGGGCTCAGCTCTCTTATACACATCTAGATGTGTATAAGAGACAGACTGGGGAGGGGGCGCGAGTAATTTTTGGAGGCGCATGCACCCCTAGATACGCCACTGCGTTTTCCCCCACATTAAATATTAAGGCTTCAGAGAACGATGATGATTCTTCGGTCAGTTCCAATGCGGTTTGGAAGGTAAAGAAACAATGTATTTTTTCCTCAATATTGTTTATCTGTAATCGTTCGGATTTTGTAAGCTTAGCCACTGAACTATCGGTCGGTTGTGATTATTAACTACATCGGTCCAGTATTCAAGCTCCTCACATGATGAGTCCCAGCCAAGTTCAAACACACTTATTCTGTAATGTATTATTATACTTAGTTGCTAGTTCTTCAACTATTATTAAGTTATTTATGTATATGTTCTATGGAAAACATAAATGGAACAAGCAATCAAGTATTAAAAAAAACAGCCACAAGTAAATCAATAATATTGCCATTTTCGATACAGGTCTCCTTCCAATTAAACACCACTTTTGGGACCGGTTTTTCGTGGTCTTTAACATCTTTGGTTTTTAATTAGAATAGTAAAAATAAAAGACATTTGTTAATTTGGGACCACAGAAGAGTGGTCTTAATTGGAGGAGTGGTCTTTAGTTAGAGGGAGACCGCACTGCAATCCTTACCATGCCTATCACGTGGTTACTTTTCACCATGTCCTTGCTCATTAAGCTGATGGTAAAACGTACATTATCCATGTTTACATTTCCTGGAGGAACAAGAAACACAATCTGTTCAGTCCATTTGGGCGTGCTCGTTCCTTTTATCATCTTTGTCCTTTTCTTTTCTAATCGCGTCTGGTAGTGGAAGAGTTCAACTTTCACAAAATAACCTACATATTATCAAAGAATAATAATGCAAATAATAATTAATTGATCCCTTATTTCTTTTCTAAAAGAGACAATTCAATTTCTATAATCAATAAAAGGGAACAAAATGTCATTCAGGATTTAGCTTCCTTTGTGGATGCAGGTTTGTTGTGCTTTTTGGCTTTATTGTCAAACTCGAATTGTATTCGAAGATGAAACAAAGAAACGAATATCTGGATGATAGTAAGGAATAAAGGAATACAAAACGTATATATAAACCATTCAAAAAGGAAGAAAGAAAAAATCCTATAAAAACAAATGGAAAATATGTGACGAGGTTGGGTAGAATATGTTTTTTTGAAATAAAAGAGGCTGACTCTTTGTATCTTCATAAACTGTTTAAGCTCGAAGTGTAAACAGCAATGAATTAAAGAGAAATACTAACAACATTTTTGCAATAATTGTGGACACTGTATATACTGTCTGTATGTGTACATCAAGGTTGCTTTCTATTTATATGCCTATTATCTATATAGTTTTATATGGCTTTTTTCTTCATTGTTGAAAATAATTTAAGTTTTATCATGAAATGTTGAAATAATTAAAAAAAAACTGTCATTCAAGATTCAATCCAGGAAATGGGGCAAAGGCACGAATATATATTTCATTTTGGCATACTACTGGCCTATATGCCTAGGCCAGTAAAATATTGCTGGCCAATATTTTAGAAATGGCTAAAGCGTTAGGAGCCCCTTTAAAGCCGAAATGTATTGTTTAAACAATTTAAATGAAAAGAAAAATAGATTTCGCTCACTAGTGTTTCCTGTTGGTTTCGGTAGGTCCCTGGCTTCGGCTATATACATGACCACTCGGAGATTGCTAGCCTGGTATACAATAGATATATGAAGATCACCGAGCTCGGGCTGTAAAATAAAAGCACAAAAACACAATCCTCAGAGTAAGGTCTGTCCAAGTTTTTGTGATGAATACCTGTGGTGTACGCATAATAAGAGTGTGATATGGATACATTTCAGATATCGTTCACATAAAACTTATGGACCTGTGATTTTTTTAAAATGTGATGTGACATCTTCATGCCGATATATGGGAGTGATTGGCATCATCAAGTAGAAAACAAAAAACAAAAACAAAAATAAATTGCATGTTTATGGGCAAATTAACACTTCAGCTTTATTAGTGCCCTGGAAAACCGTCACTGGTGACAGTAAGATCCTCGTGCGCTTGGACAACATACAGTACCTCTGGAGTCGAGTCCTGTAGTTCCATTACGAATGCCTGCCTAGTCGATAGATCAACGTCCTCCAGTGGCAACTCACAGATGCCGAGTCGATGTTTCCTTCTACCTGACGTCTCTTTGATGTAAACCTCGAGTAGAATGGTAATCTGCCAGACTGCAGAGAATGAGATTCCCTCCAGATCGAACACCTCCTGCCAATCAACGTCAGTCATCATCTTTGAGACAAAATGTAGACGTTATCAAATTGATTATTTTATTGTTGCTTGTTGTTTGTGAGTAGGCCTAATACAGGGCTTTAATTGGAGTACAGGTATACTATAGGCCTATATCACAATCAAAATAAAAGTACTTTCACTAAGCAGTTTATGTTTGAATGACTATACCGCAAATAAAATTGTGAAGGAATCAATCACACCAAGTCTATTCGTTTTACTTTATAACGCCTGTTATAAAATTAAACTTCTATTGAACGCAATATTCATCTCCTACGTTAATTAGCGAAATTGTCATTCGAAAGTAACAGCTAGGCGTAACCTGGGTGGGTAAGGGAGTGGAAATAAGGTGCCTTGGCCAAGGACACAAATAGGTGACCATCTCTATCCTTAGACTAAATTCATATTGGAACTGCCAGGAATATCTGAAAAGAAACGAAAGAAGATAGATGTAGAAACAGGTTTCTTACATTGCTGATTGGTGAATTTTTTGTTTTAAATTTCTTTTGTTTCCCTGGCAACATACAACCTCTCACAAATATCAGTGGCTGTTTAAAATGCTCTTTCTGTTTTTCGGGTATTTGAATCCTGGTTGCCTATCAAGAAAAAGAAAGCCCGGTGAACAATCAAAATATTATAAGGACTAATAGATAGGCCTATGTAACAGCTATAATAAATGAAAATTGTAAAGTACGGTATTGTTCGATGCCAGTAATAGGCCATAATCAAATTCAATACAACGTATACGGCTTGAAATGAATTATGTATTGACAACGTTACCTTATCAATTACAATCCGTAGTTTTTCTTCTTGTGTGAAATGCTCAACTGCGAAACATAATTCTGTTGCTTTATTAGTCCTACCTGTTAATATCGATAAGTATAATAAATAATTATAATGAACAATAGGCTATACAAACAATTTACTTGTTACTTGGTACTTCTATTGTTAATCTGTGTCCAAGTAGAAGCTGACACATTTTATCAGAATTTGGGTCTAATAATTTGGTTAAAATGAAATATTTTTAGCATCAAAAAAGGCATTTGAAGAAATTTAGGTATACAGTGGCGAATGACATGATATTGGTATGACCCATGACCAGCACTTGTATTGAGATTTAAAACGAAATATGGAAGTTAAGACGATTAAATATAAGTTAGAAGATATGCTTTAACAGGCTTATACCTCTAAGGATCAGAAATGCATAAACAAAGCATTCATCTAACGAAATCATTACGTTATGCAAATTTACATCAAAATAAGTTCTGTTTAAAATAATTACCAAAGCAGAGTATCGCCACCTGAGCCGATATAATTATAAATTGATATGTAATATGTCCATGCCAATCATTGTAAGAGTACTTAAATAGATGAGTAACAGTTACGCTCTCATATAATCTTCAGACTCAGTATATAATACTGGTATCTGATTACAAATTATTCTGTATTTACCTTCAATTAGCTGTAAATCTTCCATCGATGGTGCAAAAGCCCTGCATTTTATCAGAGTTTGGGTCTAATAATTTGGTTAAAATGAAATATTTTTAGCATCAAAAAAGGCATTTGAAGAAATTTATGTACACAGTGGCGAATGACATGATATTGGTATGACCTATGACCAGCACTTGTATTGAGATTTAAAACGAAATATGGAAGTTAAGACGATTAAATATAAGTTAGAAGATATGCTTTAACAGGCTTATACCTCTAAGGATCAGAAATGCATAAACAAAGCATTCATCTAACGAAATCATTACGTTATGCAAATTTACATCAAAATAAGTTCTGTTTAAAATAATTACCAAAGCAGAGTATCGCCACCTGAGCCGATATAATTATAAATTGATATGTAATATGTCCATGCCAATCATTGTAAGAGTACTTAAATAGATGAGTAACAGTTACGCTCTCATATAATCTTCAGACTCAGTATATAATACTGGTATCTGATTACAAATTATTCTGTATTTACCTTCAATTAGCTGTAAATCTTCCATCGATGGTGCAAAAGCCCTGAACGATGTCGCCACTCCCGACGGTACGCGGTAAAGTTGTTGCCGTCGCATCGAGGCCGCTGGTACGCTGGTTGTTCGCTAAAAAACGAAGGTATGATTGTCAGCTTTCTATGATTAAGTTTACTTTGGCTAAGGTTTGTAATGTTAAATACATACATAATGCACTTAACTTGATTGAAACTTATAAGTATAGCCCGTAGCGTAGTGTCGTTATTTGTAGTAAAGAATCATGTTTCAAATTAGAATGAATGATACACAATTTTGATAATCTAATCAAACTACTCATTGATATCTTGACACCATGTTTAAAATCATTTTCAATTACCTCTATAGGTCTATTCTTTATGATGAATTAGGTAATAAGAACCAGTGTAGCCATGTGCTAAAATCAATTGAAAATATTTTACAAATTAATATTAATTTACAAAGCGTCTACAGGTGAATTCTTTTTATTTTTAGTCATTTTTGAGTCATCGCCGTTGAGTCTCATTTTTTTGATGGAATGATTTTATCAATGGGCCTATATTCGAGACTATATCATAATGAATACAAATATCCACACAGCGCAATAGCTGTGCTAAGATGACTCCACCCCGGCCCCTACCCATCACCCTTATGCTTACCATCACCATTCTTGAAGCCGGTTGGTTGTAATGTATTCCGCTCATCAATATTTGTGGTTTGAAAGGAGTCATATTTCCGACAGTTGAGATATTTTCACATGAATTTGCTCCTGATAATAATGTACTTTCAGCTGTGAAAAAATCAGGAATCAAAATTAATATCGGACGAACATTTGCAATTTCCCCAAAGCTTATTTTGTTGTTGTTGCGATGTTTACTAAGTTGACACTCATCGCTATCGTAAATTTACCCACACATTGAAGAAACTAAACCTCATTAATCTTTATACTATATGTGGTTAAAAAAAAACCAGAACTAAAACATTGTTAAAAAATTAGGCAATTTTATAGGCAGTATATCTTAATTTAATCTTTGAAAGGTATTCTGTTTGTCGTAAAATTTGTAACATCACACTGAATTACCAGGGAACAATTAAATTATAATCGGCTCCCTGGAATTACTCATGTAAAAAAGATCAATAATAAACTATGGTCTTTCCATGACATGTAAATTGAAACAACGATGACTTAAAGCCTTTATATTACGAACCCGGGTAAACTAAAAGAAGGATAGAAAGTGCTGTGGTCTAGGACTGCGTTTCACGTTTTAATTTTATTTAATTGTGATGAGCCTTACTAGCAATTCGAACGGGTGTGACATCCAAACTTGATTGCGAACTGCCCGACGGAGAACGCTCCCTACTTCTGGTGGTCAGTGTATCCACAACAACGGGTGCTCGCTGGGTCATAGGTTGCAACGGTATTATGAACTCAGGTGGAGTAGCAGTAGACATTTTAACAGCTCGATTTATTTTACCAGCGTCTTCAGATGGCACACCATCTAAAAGTAACATTTATCATTTCATTAACATGTTGTTATTATTATTATTATTATTATTATTATTATTATTATTATTATTATTATTATTATTATTATTATTATTATTATTATTATGTGACTTTAATAAATAATAATAATAATAATAATAATAATTATTATTATTATTATTATTAGTAGTAGTAGTAGTAGTAGTAGTAGTAGTAGTAGGAGTATTAGTAGTAGTAGTAGTAGTATTAAAAGTAATGTTTATCACTCATTAACATGTTATTATTATTAGGTTTTAATTATTATTATTATTATTATTATTATTATTATTATTATCATTATTATTATTATCATTACTATTATTATTATCATTATTATTACTATCATTATTATTATTATTCATATTATTATTATTATTATTATTATTATTATTATTAGTATTATTATTATTATTTTATAATATATTAAATAACAGACAATCCTACAATTGTTTTAGATTATTAATTCTCATTTTGTCATAAGGGATAGTCTACTAAGTAAGGGCCTAAAATTAATATACTGAAGTCAATTCTTGTGGGCTAGTTAAAGTTTATTTTAGAACTAGATCATGTGATCAGGTCGCACTTTCTTACCCATGAGGTGTTGCTTCTCCACCTGGCGGGATTTCTTGGCGTACAGCCTCCATATGACGATGAGTGAGATAACAAGTAGGACCACACCCAAACCACAGAGAGCCCAGATTAATCCGTCAGTTGCCACTGGAAATTAATAATAATGAAATTGATATTAAAATTATTAATATTAGGCCTAATAATGAAATTAATAAATAATAACAATAGGCCTAATATTAAGTTAGTGAGGTTAATGAATAATGATATGCCTAAATGATATTAATAGTATTAATGATATAATAATAATAATAATAATAATAATAATAATAATAATAATAGTAATAATAATAATAATAATAATAATAAAAATAGGCCTATATAATAATTATTTTTTATAGTTACAGTATTAGTAATAACTATTATCATTATTATTATTATATTAGATATATTATTTTATTACTATTTTTATTATCATTATTATTACTATCATTATTATTATTATTCATATTATTATTATTATTATTATTATTATTATTATTAGTATTATTATTATTATTTTATAATATATTAAATAACAGACAATCCTACAATTGTTTTAGATTATTAATTCTCATTTTGTCATAAGGGATAGTCTACTAAGTAAGGGCCTAAAATTAATATACTGAAGTCAATTCTTGTGGGCTAGTTAAAGTTTATTTTAGAACTAGATCATGTGATCAGGTCGCACTTTCTTACCCATGAGGTGTTGCTTCTCCACCTGGCGGGATTTCTTGGCGTACAGCCTCCATATGACGATGAGTGAGATAACAAGTAGGACCACACCCAAACCACAGAGAGCCCAGATTAATCCGCCAGTTGCCCTGGAAATTAATAATGATGAAATTGATATCAGAATTATTAATATTAATAATGAAATTAATAAACAATAACAACAGGCCTAATATTAAATTAGTGAGGTTAATGAATAATGATATGCCTAAATGATATTAATAGTATTAATGATATAATAATAATAATAATAATAATAAATATTATTAATAATAATAATAATAAATGGATGATATATAAAATAAATGGTAATAATAGCAAATAACATAAATATTATATTCGTTAAAATTATGCATAATAAGCAAATCTTAAGCCACTGTAAATGTTCGAGGACTTAAAAGGTGTACTTCTGCTTCTCTGTGGTTTGGGTGTGGTAGGACCACACCCAAACCACAGAGAGCCCAGATTAATCCGCCAGTTGCCCTGGAAATTAATAATGATGAAATTGATATCAGAATTATTAATATTAATAATGAAATTAATAAATAATAACAATAGGCCTAATATTAAATTAGTGAGGTTAATGAATAATGATATGCCTAAATGATATTAATAGTATTAATGATATAATAATAATAATAATAATAAATATTATTATTAATAATAATAATAATAAATGGATAATGTATAAAATAAATGGTAATAATAGCAAATAACATAAATATTATATTTGTTAAAATTATGCATAATAAGCAAATCTTAAGCCACTGTAAATGTTCGAGGACTTAAAAGGTGTACTTCTGCCGTAGTTAAGCGGAATATGGAAGCGTTCCCCCATGTGAGTAGAACAACAGGGAAACTGTTTGAAATGGTCTACGAATAGGAGGAAGAGAAGGGGGTACAGATGATGAAGAAAATGAAGGTAAGGAGGGTCTGAAGGAAAATAAGCTCGTGGAAAGTGTGAAATCGCATCAAACCACTAGTAAAATAACAACTTACTTGTTTATGTATAGCATGCGACTACATATCTTTGAAATAGGCTACTATGAACGTCTACGGGATATTCTCACAATGCTCAACGAACGCCAATGAATATGTTGATTGTATCTGTCACTCCCTAAAAAAACTTCTACGAACTTTTACTCCATATCTGCCAAAATTTCGAAGCGATAACCGTAGAATTGTGAGACATTAGACCCGGTATTTACCACCCAATGTTTCTTCCCAAATAACACATTAAGAAATTGTGACTGTGATAGTAGAGACAAAAGTAAATTAACATAAGATTAATATCTCCCGAGATTTTTAGTGATTTATTGACCCTAGTGACTGATGTATTGACAGGGTAGTTGGACCTTGATCGAGGACAGGAACCGTACCTCCATGGCTAGACAATCAGAGGTTTAAATAAAGATGTAGGCCTAGCTATGGTTACAATTTTGCATACCACAAATTCACCTTGCAAGGTACCATGTCATAGAAACTTCATTTTTCACTGATTTTATTACGCTTACAGATTTAAACTGTTACTCGTTTGCGATTGGTAAAAAATGTGACGTACATTTTCGGCACCGCCATTGCGTGGGATTATCAGATAGATCAAATATATATAAACAAAGTTTAAGGAGAGTGTGGGTGGATTTCATCAGGTCCTGGGGCATGATCTGAAATTGGTAGGCCTATATTAATTTTTTTCTTTTTTGTATTTATATTGTACGAGCTCAGCTAGTCCACAACTCGAGGACTTTGAGACTTCAGTAAGTGCTAAATAAATCCAACTATACATTATTAATATTACCTTAAAATCAGGCAGTCCCGTAGCTAGACTTAGTAGGCCTAATACGGAGAGCAGAATTACAATTTTGAATGGGGTTTGGCGGGGGAGGGGGAACGGAGGCGGAGGGTAAACACACTCACCTCGGTCACATGACGAGCTGAGATGAAAGAAAAAATAAGAAAAGTTTTTCAAATTAATTCTCAAATATTCCAAACACAACATGTGATAATATATAATATTGCTATATATATACATACATACATACATACATACATACATACATACATACATATGGATATATATATATATATATATATATATATATATATATATATATATACTACATATATACTATATATATATATATATATATATATATATATATATATATATATATACAGTGTATATATATATA